TATATATATATATAAAAAAGCTCAGTAATAGTGGAGAGTATTTCCAGAGACGTGATAACATTAGTTTCATCATTCTCATTTTTACCTGGAAAACATCTCTCTTGAGATAGGTTTGGTATTGGCCAGTCCAACTGCACAGCTTTGTCTTTCTTCCAGCACTTAACACCTGACCAGATATACCATGTAACAGTAATGCCTTGTTACGACAAAAAGCTAGAGGCTTCAAGGCCAGACTTTTTCAACCAAGAGTACCAAACTCGTGATGTGGACTGTGTAATCACCACAGGTAAGTAGAGCCAGAGATAGTCCAGCTAATTTCTGTAAGCCTCAGAGCAAGGCATTTGCTAGTTTTGATAACCTTTCGTCTCTGATGGAGGACGTAGTGTATGGATATTGCTGTATAATTACACTTTAATAATGTGTCAGTTCAGGTCCTGGTAAAGATTGCAGGTGCAATCTTACGTACATATCTGTGGATTTTGTTTTCCTTTATCCCCAAATAAGAACTTTTTATATCTGTGGTTCTGTTTTAGGAGAAGTGCTAAAGTTGTTGGAAGAAGAAGGTGTATCTCTATCAGATGTAGATCCTGCTCCTTTGGATACCATGTAAGAACAAAATCTCATTTGCATCTTCAGTCTTGTTCTTCTTTATCCAGTATTTGTAGATTTTTTCAACAGCATTTGCCTTTCCACTACTGTTCTACACAAGGCTAAGTGTGTTTGCATTTGTTTTGTTTTCTTGTGTCACTTGAGTCTGTACAATTGTGCATTAAAATACTTAATCTACTGAATATAATGAATTTCCACTTTTGGAGAATCTGTAACTATTTGTTCTAGGTTTTAGTAGTCCAAGGGTTATCAGCTCTCGCTGTAAATCAGCAGGATTGCTAGAATTAGCTCAGTAAGAGTATAATGGCAAAATAATTGTGCATAGAAGTACAAATTGTATGACAGTCATTTACTTCAGTTACTGTTATTCACAGTATAGCTGGTGGAATCCGACAAAAACCTACCTGCAAACTTTGAAAAGTGAAAGAATCTAGATCAGTGATAAAAGAGTTTGCTAAAAGAAAGCCTGTTATTGCACTGCATCCAGTTTGCTTGTATCTGTTCCTAGTTATCAGAGCTACTGTAAGGATTCCAGAATTAAAGCATAAATAAGTAATATTTAGGTCACTCAGCTAATCTCTAGGAGTCTTTATTTGTAAAAAAGTGAGATCTAAAAAGTGTGCAAACCAGATGAAACTTCAGTTGCTTCAACTGAAAAGTAACATCTGGTTAAGTGACAACAGCACAGAGATCTAAGTGACTACGGAAACATTAAAATCACATTTTACTCGTCTAGATTGACGTGTGGTGGTGGTTCTGCACTGAGGGCTAAACCAAAGCATTCTCTTCTTCTGTTTAAAACAAATGTCTTTGTAGCACTTGGTACATAAATAAACAGAAAGGTTACACATGCGGCAACCTTTAAAAATTATAAAAGATGATTAAGTATATGATTCAAAAATTTTTTTTTAATTTGTTTTTTGTTGGATACTCCAAATATGTGGCATCTAGCACATCCTTTTCATGTGAGGGATACCTCGTTAAAAAAAGAGATTTAAAATAACGTGCATGCCCAGAGCCTGTTTCCTTCTGCTGAGTTTCAGTGGATCAGTAGGTGTAGGTTTCACACAACACATTTACTAGCACAGATCTGCTTATGCACACTTTTTCCAGGATTAAGTGTCTTTTTCTGACATAGTGTATGCACAGATTGCTTTCACATCAAAAAAGAAAAGTATCCTCAGCTATAGTAAATGTCTGCATCATTAAGTCCCAGAAGTGCAACTTCAGAAGTTGCCCCTGTAAACGAGTGCTTCTGTTCTACCTGCTTTATTGTTACACCACTGACAGAAAATTGAGGAGGAAAAAAAAGATTCTGAAGTGTTTGGTTCCCTTAGGAAATGACATTATGGAAGTGTCAGTTATAACATAGAACTGAATGTCTAATTACTTGATAAAAATCTCTGGCCAACTTCTTAGGAGTGCATTCTGAGCGCTAGGCCTCATGCTTGTGGTGATAAAGTGCCTCTATAACCTTTTGCTAGCTTTAACATACTCGGTAAATTGACTGGTTACAAACAGCACGTATTCCTCAGAACTGGGAGCGTTCACATAAGCAGTCCAATGGCTGTTGTTCTGCTTTATCCTCCAGCACGTGGAAAAGCCCATTAAGAGGTTATTACATTTGGCAGCAAGAATGAGATAAAGTGCCAGAAATCCCAGGACTTTTGCCGGTATAACCGTTTGCTCCAGGCCAGCGCTGAAGCTTACTGGCAGCCTCATTTTAAGAGAGTAGCAGTACGTGAGACCAGACACACTGAAACATTTTGTTAATGAAGCTCAGTTCCTGTAAACAAGATCAAATTAAAAATAGTTTCTGAGGGTGATTGCAGGCTAAAGTGTTGCCTTCTGCAGTTCTTCCAAAGCTAAGATTTTATCTGCAAGAGGCAACATCTTTGATTTGACTTGAAACTCTTTGGCCTGAATTCAAGTGTTTTCCCTTCTGCAGCTGTTAGTAGGAGAATGCAAGTGTCACTGCCTGATGAGTGCTTATAAGCAGATCCCTCATCTTGTTATTCTCTCCTAACAAAAGCTATTGTTGTAGTTTCCATCTGGCGAGCTATTCTCAAGAAACATCTTGACCTCTGAATAGTTGGTTGTGTTTTGGTGTGTCAGTGAGACGGAATTAGATGTGCAGAACTAGAATTACAGAACTCATGTCAACGTGGTTATTCAACACCAAAAGTGTGTTGAACTTGAAGCAGGATCCTGCTGAGGACGGCTGTGTGTGGAGCAAATGTCCTGGCATCGTTAGGTTTGTTCACCTTTGTTACGTGTTAAGCACGTGAAACCACAGCAACATGGATTTCATCTCTGTGTGCTTGGTGTCATAGCACTGATACCTCCCAGAAGTGTCTCTCATCCCAGCAACCACATCTAGAGTAGCTGATTGTAACGCAGAACTAGAAGCTTTCACTAATGAACTCTGCTTTTGTTGATGTTGCAGAAAAGCTTTAGCACTGATGAGATGTCTCTTGACTGAGACAGGGCTTCTGCTAGGTTGTGTTCTCCAGGAGGAGCATAGCTTGCGCAGACCCATATGACCAACACTTCATTATTTCCCTCCTCCCATTTCTAAGTGTAACCCAGGATGTCTGTAGAGGTATTAAACAGAAAGCTAACAAAATATGTGTGTCAGCTAATTATGTTTGGGAATGTTTGCATTACAAGAACATTTTTGACACATGAAGATTAAGTTGGCAGTGCATGGGTCAGGCCCTTTTGTGGCATGTGACAGTATTTCCACTGAGCTTGACCCAAGCAATGCTAGGCAGCAGAGGGTTAAATCTGCTGGGTTCTGAACTTATAAATAGTTAGTTCCCAGGAGAAAGGGAAAAGTTAGGAGCTCAAAGGGAGCTGGTCTGTGGCTTGTTTTGTTGCTTTTGAGTCCCCTGGACCTTTGCGTTTGTGCTGGCTGTTCTGTTTTATCAAAGATTCCCCTAAAACTGCGTCTTTCTTCCTTTCCCACAGGTTTGGTAGTGCTGCAGAAGAGGAGCTCACAGGCCACTCTGGAGGCGGTTCTGGTGGCTATCTGGAGCACATATACAAGCATGCAGCCAAGGAGCTCTTTGGAATTCAAGTGGATACAATTCAGTACAAGCCTTTAAAGTAAGAAGTTTAAAGTCCTACAGAAAGCACTATTTTTAATGCAGTACTGTTCATGCTGTTGTCTTGCTGACGGGCTGAAACTTTCTGCACAATGATGTTAAACATTTTACTTCAAGGCATGGGAATTGGCTTCTAACTCCCACAGTTGCTAAGCAATAAATCAGCCAGCGCTCCGTGCAGCCTTTCCCTTGGAGACTTCAAGTCCCTTCACCACCCACACACTTTATTTTGGCCCGATGGATTTTCACGGTATCAGGTTGCAGACAATTTTTAGAGTAATTCAGAAGAGCTTGCGTGGATCTGGGCTTCCTCACCTGCAGTCAGAGCAGTAAAGTAGATGTGTTACTAATCTAGCTATCACAGAACAGAAAATCTTGTGTCAGGGCTTTGGGGCTCTGTTTTAACTATGTTGTGGTAAGAGAGAAAACAGTCACTTGAGTTTGGGCATAGAGGCTCATTCAGCTGAGATTCCTGCTAGCTTCCCAGTTTGATATTAATGTACCATTTGTAATGAATTATATCCCTGCTTAGCAATATTTATGTTTAGGATTCTCTGGTCTAGGAAGCAGAAGGAACAGTCCCCCAGAGCCTCAATATTAAATACTTGATAAAAATTGAATTACTTATTCTTTTATCAGGAACAGGTATTTCTACTAACCTTAGGAGTCTGGAAGCCTTCAACAATGGTTTACTCCCTGGTTTTATGACCCACTAACAATTTAAAAGTTTCCTCAGTGGCCTCACTAATGTATAAGTTGGCTGAAGCCAACTCAGAAGGCCTATCACAATGAAACTTTTGTTGAGAGGCCCCATTTGCTTAGATGTTAAGGATTTATTCAACACAGGTGTTCTTCAGCAAACTCAGTTTGGGTGGCAGGTCCTCAAACAAGATTGAAAAAGGATTTGTAAGCAAGTTCCTTCATCTTCTGTTTGGATGGCAAAGAACTAGGACAGCTTTCTTGAATAAGATTTCACAAAGAACTTAATTTTAGCACAGGCCTCTTTGAAGTTTAAAATAGAACTTAATTTGGATAAGATATTTTCTCTGCTCTTGTTCGTCAGAAACAAGGACTTCCAGGAGGTGACACTGGAGAAGGATGGAGTAGTCCTGCTCCAGTTTGCTTCAGCATATGGGTTTCGAAACATACAGAACTTGGTGCAAAAGCTGAAACGTGGGAAATCGCCCTATCACTATGTTGAAGTCATGGCCTGCCCATCAGGTAAGACTGCACAGGGATTTCACTGTCACAATCTGCAGCTGCAAGAAGCTCTATGAAAATATAACTAAAATAAAACAACAACAGGCAGTTTCTCACCTTCTGAATATTGTGGCAAAGCCTTTAAACTCTTGAGAGCTGATAGTCACAGCATCAGAATTTCAGAGGTGTTTGCGTGTATACTTTCCTACCTAGAAGCTAGTAATTCTTCAGGATTTCAGTAATTACAGTTAAATTCCATTACACAAAATCTGCATAATTAGTGCTTTTAAGGAGGTCATCCTGGTTTTCTGAGTTCTTTGGTAAATGGGGACATTCTTCCTCTAAAATTGCACAAAATTGACCGTCACACTTTTAGAGATTGCTTGCTATGGCTAGTGAAGGAAGTCTCTTTCTACCTGTGTTACTCACTTTTCCACTTTGTGCAAGCACTCCTTTTTCTCCCTCCTGGTTCTCTTTGAATCTGCTAGCAGAGAGCATGGGCAGCTTGAACGCAGCCTGAAGTGATGCTGAGCTGCCACTCTGAGCAACCGCGCTCTGCCCGAGGCTCTGCGCGACTCCCAGCCCAGAAGGCTGCTCAGCACCAGGACACCGCTCAGGGCAGCCACACGCTGCCTAACTCAACTCGTGGTGCAACTCTTCCCCAACACCAAACCCAGAACATATCGCAGGCATGTTTATCTTACCTTCAGTTGAGACTCCAAGGTTGTTCTCACCTGGGTTGTGTCCTGGCCCTTTTCTGGGGACATGAGATGAGAGCCCGAGCTGCCTGCCGCTTGCCTCTGCTTCCCTGGCAGGTCCCAGCCTGCCTTGGCAGCGCTCTGGCTGCCGGCCGACCTAGCGCTGGGGCACACCAGGCCAGTGATCTCCCTGCTGGTGTTAGATAACTGGGGAGTAAGCCACAATTATAATGGTGTTTTCATTTCTGTAACTGCTTGCAGGTGCAGAGTAAATTAACTGTCATTTGGTTTTGTTCTGTTTTTTTTTCCTGATAAAGCTGAAGTGCTTTCTAAATGCAGTGACATTTTCTCACTTTGTTGCACGTAGGCTGTTTAAATGGAGGTGGTCAGATCAAACTAGATGGTGAATCCAGCAAGGACCAGCTTCAGCAAGTTGAGAGGTTGTACGAGTCCCTTAAGACTGAAATTCCAGAGAAGAACCAGACTGTAAATGAACTGTACGAGCAGTGGCTGGGTGGCGCGGAGTCAGAAACGGCTGCGAAAGCTCTGCATACAGAGTACCATGCGGTGGAGAAAACAAGCACTGGATTTAACATCAAATGGTGAAGACTGACGCCGTGAAGCCCAGATACAGATACTCGGTGCCTTTTTAACTCAATTATATTTAAGATTCTCAAAAGACAGCTAAAGTTCTGTGCCATCACTGGGAGTTTGCAATTTCTGACTCTCGTTAGGGACAAGAAGGTAATGTGCATATAAGCAGGCAATATTAACTCTTACAGCTTTATAATTATTGAAGTGATGTAAATAAAAACCAAAAGCTGACTTAAAACAAATGTCAAAAGCAGCAGTAATGCATCCTAGCCTCTACACAGTCTTTAAGGACTAAATCTGCACTCCCTTTACAACCCTATTCCTGACAGAACTGATGAATTTAAGGTACTGACGGGTTTGGCTTGCAGTAGACTGTAACCTCACTGAGATGAGCTTTATGCTACGCGACGGTATTGCTTGTCCAGGCCTTGCTGTATTTTCACAGCACTAAGTTTTATGGCTGTCTCCGTAGGGACATCCTCATTTAGCTATAAATGGTCTAATTAGTCCTTGGGTTCTGTTTTTCCATTCCACTGCCCCTGACTGGCTGCCCTTGAGGTCCAGCTGCAGTATCTGCCCTGTCAGAGGGGGTGGGCACCAGCATCATCTCTAGGGCTGTTTTATTGCCTGCTGAAATGTGACTTGAGTGAATGTGTAAGAAGAAAAAGCTAGAGTGATTTTGTTTTTCCCCTTTAATTATAACAATTGTCTCTAACTCTGGGCAATTACATCTCTTTCTCTCCCTAAATACACAGTAGGAGAGTCACAGAATTGCCACATCTACCCCATCCTCAGCAGGATTATACTGACGGATAATATCCTTAAATTCAGAAAAAACAATTTTTTACAGTGTTTCGAGTAAGAATTTATTGCCAGCTTTCTTTCCAACGAAGGACAAAGTCCTTGGTGTCTCTCAAAGGTGTTACTTTATAAAAGTTAATAGAAGGCGGCTGTGAGATGTAATCATTACAACAGGTACTTTACCAGAACAATCCAAGAGGTTAGTAAAAACACATCTGGTTTAATGCAGCGTATTACGATGCCTTGCCAGAAGACAGATGGATGTGAAGGAGATTTGGTCTTTTGTTACTGGAGAGGACATGTGCTTGTCTTGCCATCTGTATTTTTACATACGGGTATTTTCAGAACTATTCACAGAAAAACAACTGAATTAATAACTCTGGTTTGGTCTATTTAATCTGAATATTGGTTTTTCTGGAGTTACAATGTGCATGTGGAGGGGAAGGCAGTAGTGGGAGGATTTGCAGCTGTACCTGAACTCAAGGGGAAGGAAGGGACACTGGCAGATGTGGAATCTCTCCTTGTGAGTGCTGTAGCTGCAGGTGAATAGGAGCTTAAGAATTGCGGTGTTGAATCACTTCACTATTTCTCATTTTTCCAGTTACTGCTATGTGAGGAAGAAGGATCCTGCAGAAAGTAGCATTAAGTGGATGAAAACTGAAAACAAAGCTGACAGATTGCTTTGTTCCTTCAGAGTAAATACAGATGGAGCTGGTTACTGCATCTAGTCCAGATTGAAACCTTGCCCGGACCCTCTTCAAAGATAACCCTCACCCAGTTACTGCTGACCTTGAGCTTAGGGCTGTCAAAAAGCAAAGCTGCCAGACCTTGACCTGCCTCTTGTAACAGCTCCTCTGGCAGTACTTGCCTCTGTCCTTCTCAAAGCCTCCTCCATTCTTGATTAAAAGTAAGCCAACAGTGTCAAAGACTTTTTTTTTTTTTTTTAATTAAAAGCTTTGCATTTTTCAGGTGTTGTTGATCAATCAGTGAATTCACAGTGTTCATAAGGCAAGAATCTCCCACTGCTTCCCCCTCCCCAAGCAAGTTGGTAGCTTCAGCGAATGCCCTTTTCCATGCATAGATGGGTAACACACGGTCTTATGCTAAACCATAACATTTTCATCCACAGCAAGAGATGCCACTGCCAATGCAAAGTCAGCCCAATATGCTGAAGTGCTGAGATCGTAAACTCTGTACATCAGTGCAAAAGAAACACGTTGTTTCTGTTGAGAACATGCACATCAGGCCAGAAGCGCAGAAATAAATAAAGCTAAATTAGCTGTAGATTAAACGGGGGGGTGTCTACGTTTTGTCTCTTCTCCAGTTACCAGGTGCTAAAGCCATCAAAGGACTCTCCACTCTGAACACAGCGAGACCTTGGCACCTACAGCCACTCCTGGGTGTCTGTTCTTTGCTGTGGTATCAAGAACAGCCTGACTTTCTCCCAGCCTTTGAGCTGCATGCTGCTGCTATCAACATGAGCAGACTCAGCGCTAGTTCAGGAACTCTCCCTGCATGCACACGGGTGCATCTCTGCACCCAGTATGAATAAACGCCCAGCAGAACGCCCAGGTAACATCTACAAACTGTACCATGATACTTAAACTGAGAAACTCTGAGGCAATAGTACCGAGGCAACTTGTGCAGCAGGATTAATTCTTCCCCTCTTGTGAGGGAGAGTAAATTCTAACATCATAACTTAAAAAAAGGAAAAAAGAAAACCTTATTCCAGTTTCTAGCAAGGGAAGAAACAGCCACAACCAGGCTTCAGTGGTAACAGATGCAGTTCACAGTCCACACATGAAAGATCCTGAAGTCAACTCTATTCCAGTGTTGGGAGCTATAAAATTTATCATCAACGCTGCTTAAAATGCCAACATACGGTAAAGGATTATGGGACCAACTCCTCTGCTCCCCTGTTTTCATTTAAACTACGCAGAACGGGTGTAAACACAGCAACACCGAGACAGTCGCCCGCACTCTGCAAGCTGAGGTAAAGAAGAAAGAGACACGTGCGACTGTCCCACTGGAGCAACCTGCCCAAGCCCAGACCCTTTGGAGGGATTTTCATAGCTAGTTACAGAGCTACCATCAAGGCCTACTTTTTTCCCCCAAAAAAGAAAACTACTGGTTTGCAATGTACCTCCCCACCACCTACAAATAAAAGCTTTGCACATTTCTCAGCCTTTAAAAAAAAATAATACAGTACTGGTTTTGCACAAACTGCAGGCTGAAGGCTGCAAGCTGAAGAGGCTTAAGAGCCCCAGCTGCTCCCTAGCTCTTGTTCTAGAGATGAGGCAACGTACATGTATGTTTCAGCCAAGTGTTTTCCAGTTTTTTATCTTCGGGGGGGAAAAAAACCAAAAAGCAGCAACAGACGTGTAGCAGCACGTTGTTGTTTGCTGCCTAAAAACTGTCACACCTTGAAAAGTATTTTACAAAGCCGGTGGCTTACCACACTCTTTTCTCCAGGCCTGAACTCCACCTGAAGGCACTCTGCACGCTTTACGTGGTTTGGATGGCTCCCATAAGTCAGCGATGGCGTTACAAATCCCTACGCAATGATTCTATGCTGGCCTACTATAGAAATAGGGGAAAAAAATACCCAAACGCCACTGCAGCGAGGGTTTCTGCTAGCCCAGGTCTGGAGTCAAGCAGGCACTGCTGAACGCCAGCGAAAACGTGTCCCCAGGAGGGCACAGGGACGCCGGAGCGGGACAGGCAGGGCCAGGAGGGCTTCCCCGGCCCCCGCAAGGCTCCGCTCCAGCCCACCCCCCAGGAAGCGCGGTGCAGCACCCAGGCCCGGCAGGACGGCAGGCAGGAGCGC